ATAGCATGACTGTCACTGATATGACAACACATATACATTGTTGGGCATTAACATAACGTCCTAGTATTTCAGGGTCCCAGCATGGGGAAACAAGAAAAATCCCAATGCCTCCCCCAGTAAGCATGTTGTAAGAGTCGACTAACTGGGGGCTTCCTTTGAAGTCTGAGTGCATTTATCTGAAGCAAGGAACCAACAGTCTGCATTCAAATAAGAAAGATCCATAAAATGGATGTGCACACAACACTCAGGTTCTGGAACAAGACTAATGTACAGAGGCTGGTGAACACCCAGACCTCACCGCGAAGGTGGTAAAAAAAATGATGATGATGATAAGTAAAATAACTTCTGAGGTTCCTATAGTATGCTTAGGTTAAACATAAGATTACATAATTTGTTTCGGGGTACACACCTTGATCACACATGGTATGCTGGTTGTCAAACGCAGGTAAAGGACCTTGGGAGACATGATGCTGGACTTCTTGTGTGCGCTTTCTGATTTACACCTTTGGATATTTTCCCCAGGTGTTGGTGTGTTGAGAAATGAGCAGGCAGATAAACTGGCTGGCTCTTCACCACTTGGTAGTCTAATGACGTATGAAAAGTTAGATATTGTGAGGGCCCTTTGGGAGTGAGTGAACAGTACGAAGGCACAGATAGATCATTACCATCTGAGGAGAATGGCGCTGCAAGGAGTTACCAGGAGATATGGCTGACGCTCAACACTCAGGTGAAGGATGAGATGGATATACAACCAGATGGTTACTGGTACCATCAGAATTGGAACTCTTCGCTTGCTGCTGAAGATGGGGACTGAACACTTATGGGAGTGCCCCGAGTGATGTGATGTAGATTTTTAATTCAACATTCATTTACACCCGACAGACAAGTTTTTGTGTGCTAAACTTGACTGTTTTTTTAGGAGTTCCCTATTGGTTCCCTACAACTTTGAAAACAGTGTTCACTCAGTGGGCCAGTGTTCCCTTCTTAATGGGTTGTACAAGGGACATTCTTGCAGGATATATTCTGTAGTTTGCACACACAGCCCACTTGGGCACAATAGTGAACTACTTAGACAAAGCCTATGCATATGCTTGTACAGATTGTTATGTCCTGTCCTAAAGTGTACAGTAATGATCTGCCCATGCCGGTCAAGTAAGTGGTAGTCATCTCTGGCCAGATTCTGTTCACTTCTGATAGATTGGATGATCCTTTTCTTTTTAAAGTATGAGTATGTTGCTGCACTCTCCTCCTGTTCTTTATTCTACCCCTTTCTTAGCATGTTTATCCACAGTTTCATTTCCTGGTATACCACAGTGGGATGGCACTAACTGGAGTACAGTGCGCTTTGGGCAGCCACTTTGCCAAATTCAGGTCTCAGATGAGGGAATTAACCACTCTTGAAGCACCGATAGTGCATCTGTGAAGATGACCACTTGGTGGCAGTCAGATCTAGTGTCGTGTAAAATTTTGGCAGCCTGCTCTAATGCTAGGATATTGGATGAATAGTTAGAACATAATTTACCAATGGGTATACACTTTGTGTGGCGGTGGTTGTTGGGGTATGTGATAAAGATGCCAATGCACCCATTTTTTAACCACACTGGTTACTGATCCATCTGTGTAAGCAGATGCTAGACTGATACTATTAGAGACTAATCAGAACTCAGTGGTTAGGGCTACATGCGTCTTCATCTTTGCAGACACATCCTCCTTTCACAAGTAAATCAGAGCCTCTACAACAATTTTGGACATTTTGTCCAAAATTTTACAAGCCAAGACAAAATTAACACTATGTGATTATATTGGAAATTGTAGAAGTAGTAAAATGTACTCTGATATCGTGAAGACAGCATAGTTCTTCTTTGCTCTTTCAGCGCACACTGCTTCGGTAGAAAGACTTCTTCTTTTCTCTACTCCTGAAATGTCTTGCGGTGTCAGGGGAGGAAGAGATCTCTAGAAAGGGCCCTTCAGTTCGCTTCGTAAATAGTGTCTTTGATATTTCTGCGGTCCATCTTCTGCATATTGAACCTCTGGGTCTGTTACCACTGTATCCGTATAACATTGCTCTCTGTGGTGCCCTGCCTGCTGTCAGTCTTGTTACATGGTCAAACCATTTGATTTGTTGTCTACCTATAAAGTTCAGTATTGGTTCTGTGCCAATTCTCCTCCTGAAATCATTGTTTCTAAGTCGATTTTTCCTTGTTACACCTAGCATAGCAAGAATATTTTCTTTAATTTATGCCCAATTGATAAATGAGAGAAATCATCTTAGTGTTGATTCAGTCAAGACAATTTCACTTGTAAATTTTATTTCAAGCATTTCACATGCAGATAATTTTATGGACATTCGATATAAAACAAAGACATTCTAACAAAGATCAGATCATCAGAAAAATATATATTGAAAACATGGAAAACAATTTAAATGAAATTTAATGTTAGGAGAAGTGCCATCATTTTGGAAGATCAAAATGTGAGTGTCTTCATTTTAGAAAATAAAAATATAGCAACCTGATTGGTAAACACACTGATCTCACAAGATATATTGGTTGTAAAATGTATGTAAAGGACCTTTTGTGTTTTGCGTCATCTGACAATCAGAAATGAGATATCTCAGATCTGAGAAAGGTGGTCCAAGTGACAAAAAGAGACAAAGTCTGCAATCAGACAATACGTCAAGATCTTGATACCCAGTCCTTACAAACCTGAGTGGATCAGTCACAGTTACAATGATTTGGACATGTATGCAGAATGGGAGAAAATCGGCCACCATGGCAGGCATGGGAGGCTAAGAACCAGGGAACCAGACCTCCAGGGTGACCTAGGGTGCGCTGGGAAGACAACATCTGACAGTCCCTAACTGACAGAGGACTGGAATGGAACAAAGCCAGAAAGAAAACTGCTGATATTTTTCCCCGTGTGGTTTCCGGGCCCTATTGTGGGGAAAACAAGAATAGACCCACTGCCTACCCAAAAGCATGTCATAAGAGTCGACTAATTGGGAGCTTCCTTCAAAGTCGAACTGCATCTGTCTGAGAGGCAAGGAACCAGCAGTCTGCATACAAATGAGTCAGATCTGTAGAACGGATGCACACGCAACACTCAGGTTCTAGAACAGGACTGCAGTCCAGAAGTGGATGAACAACCAGAACTTTCTGCCAGAGTTTACAGCTGGTGAACGTAAAGAAGAAGAAGAAGAAAACTGCTGATAGAGACATCTAGAGATATCTCTGGCAAACCTCTACACCCCAAGGTAGAAGAGTTGTGACTAAGTAAGTAAGCCATCTGACAAATGATGCTACACTATTTTTATACACCAGTCAGCACTCGGTGGGTGATGTGGTTAATATTGCATCAGTCGCTTTTACTTCTCAAGAAATTACCTGGCATACATTTTAGGCTGGGTCAACCTCAAAGCCAGGGTGAATATTTAAAGAATCCTCATGTGAATGCTCTTTTTAGATCCTTGTATCTCAAGAGCAAAGTGTGCGAAGCAAGCTATGGGGAACCATGCAAGACCTGCAACGGACATGCGAGTTCAAAGAGGCAACCCACCTGATGGTCTGATCTAAGCATACGAAACCAAACGCAAAGAAGAAGAAGATCCTTGTATCAGAAAATCTTATATCATTGTCCATTTAAAGATAATCTTCGCTGCACATCGGACAAATCAGTATGCCAGTAACCCAGGTGCAGTCCAAATCTTCCCGTGTGCCATACAGCTTTGATTTGACTGAGGTTGGAACAGGCCAGATGGCTTCTCTGTTAGCAGCATACAGTCTAAAACGTTGGAGTACAGCTCAGCATTTTCAGGTGCCAAGTTGCGGGGACGTGTCTCTGTGTTTCCTGTTCTGAAAAATTTGAACATATGTTGGCAAAGTCTGTTGTGCCCTGTCTTTAGACTGAATATGATATTCTACCCTCTCTTGAAAGGCGATGCCGCGGGTCTTGGAGTGAAAATGTGGTGTGGGTATCCAGCAACTTTTCTTGAATACTAGTTTTTATTAGTGTCTTAGTCCTTTGGTGGATTTGGTCATCATGTCACTGCCAGATTTGTCCAGTCAGTTATTTCATTGCATTTCAAGATCTGTGCCTAGAATCTTTAGGCTGACAAAGGAGCTTCTAGCCACTATCCTACCACGGCTCCCTGTGTGGGCTCTGGGGCAAAAAAAAGAAAGACCCACTCCACCTCTAACAAGTCATGTTGCACAAGGCAACTAATTAGGATGTCTCCTTGAAATTGGAGTGCGTCTGCCTGAGAGGCAAGGAACCGACAGCATGTATGTAAATAAGCCAGAATTTCCGGTACAATACTAAAGTCCAGATCTGGACAAACAACCAGAACTTTCCACCAGAGTTTACAGCCAGTGAACATGAAGAACAACAACAAGCTACCATGGCTCCTGATGTGTTGGTTGGGACTGAAATAATTAATACCTAATAGTTACTAATTTTCTTTTTAAATACATAGATTGTTATTCTTATCATTGCTCCTCAAGCCCCTTGCACTAATGCTTACTTCGCTGTCATACATTAAAATACTATTTAATCACATCAACAAAGTGACATATAGAACAGTTGCTGAGGTAAGGGAATAAAGCAGAACTCTTCTTTTTTCTTTGAGTTCGCCAGCTAAAAACTCCGGCAGACAATTCTGGTTAATCATCTAATTCTGGACTTTAGTCCTGATCAAGAACTGAAGTTTCACATGCACATCAGTTTTATAAGTCTGACTTGCAGACTGTTGGTTGCTCGCCTCTTGGGCAGATGCACTCGGATTTCATGCCTGCTTGCCTCTTGAACAGATGCACTCAGATTTTGAAGAAAAATTTCTGAATTAGTCACTCCTTTTTATGACATGCTGTTTAAGGAATGTGGGTCGGTGTAGCCAGTCTATCACCTCCACCACCCCCCCCCCCCCCCACCGACCCTCTCAAAAGGGTCCAGGAGCCCACAGGGGAAAAGTAAACATTTAAACCGCCAGATTTCATGTTTAGATTTCAGGCTTGCAGTCTTCCCAGAACCTCATCGAGAGTGTATGGGTAGGGATCTTGAAATTCCCGGTTGTGCTGATACTCCACTTTGCCGACTGCTTGTGAAATATCGTTTCCATGTTTGAGTCGGAAATGCTGAAACAGGTTGGACTTTCTCTTTGTATAGAAAAGACAGGCTGAGCAGTGGTACTTAGCCACGATTTCCTCATGCTTCTCAGTCCAATGAATTTTCAAATGGATTGCCTGTCGAATGACATTAGCGCTACAGCCAGGTACGGGGCAGCCCAGACCAGGTTGCCACAGGCCTCCTCTTGGCTTCACTGACTTTCTGGATCCAAAAGAAATCGTGTGCACACCTGGGAATCATCAAAACAAAGAAAAAATGATCATGTTCTACTTATGCTGTACACATGCAGTCATAATACACACATTTTAATTACAAGAAATTAAACGTCAGCTGCAGGTGATTTGGAAGCAGACCACTTTGCAATGATTGTGACAAATGTGTGAGCATCACTACAGTTCAAAGAAACTGACAGTCATTTTTTTTCTCCCAGGATTCCCCTCCAGATCTGCAGTCTGTAGGATTAACATCTCAAGGATGTGAATCAGAAAGGTACAAATCCTGAAAATCCTGTCAAACATATAGCACAGTTATACTAGGGCAGTACAAAATGGTTACAAAGTTACTGGTAGTGAAAGTGCGGCTGCATCTTGATCATTGAACCTGTTGAACAGAAAAATTGCCTAGCAAAACAGTCAAAAGTAAATAAATCTGTTGTAGGTCTAAAACATCCTGATGATGAATTGCCAACTAATTTTATAAGAAGAAAACCTTTCCTTTGGCGTGAACAAGACAGGCTGAGGAAGGTATCATGATGCGTGGGCAACATATGGTCCCTACAATACTGCCCAGGCTTTGTGCTATGGAGAGGATGAACTTCATCTTTGGCCATAAACAAGCTGTGGAAGACTTTTCTTAATGTGGGGGGAAGGGGGGGGGGGTCTTGCTATTCACACTCGCCATCACCATGGGCTATCTTCTTCTTCGTGTTCACTGGCTGTAAACTCAGTGTAAACTTCTGGTTGTTCGTCCACTTCTGGACTAGTCCTGTTCCAGAAACTGAGTGTTGCGTGTAAATTCGTTTTACAGGTCTGACTCATTTGCATGCAGACTGTTGGTTCCTTGCCTCTCAGGCAGATGTACTTCGACTTTAAAGGAAGCTCCTAATTAGTGGACTCTTACATGCTTTTGAACAGGCAGTGGGTCTATTATTCTTGTTTTTCTTGACAATGGAGACCTGGAAACCCATGGGCTGTCCCTTCCCTCCTCATAGCGCAATACAACGCTATCGTCTGGAAAGACGGAAATGTGTCAGTGACAATTAATCAGAGGAAAACCATGTAGTTAAATAAACCAACAACTTTTATTTCTGTATGTGTGTGTATGCTAGAAGGCAACAACAAAAATCTGTTTAAAGTGTAGAGCTAATATAGTTATTTTCGGTAGCCGAATAAACATGATATCGCACATGTGAGAAAACAGCAAGAATAATCACTAATGATTACACATACCCATAACTGACATATAAGTACACAGCACAATGGTTTCTTGAATATATATGAGCTTAAACAATAAATGCACACACTGTCAAACACTGAACAAAAATATTAAAAGTATAAAGAAATACGTAAACAGAGAATGTCTATATTTGGTTCAAGATGCCCACAGGTTCCGGGGCACTGGAAGGCAGTAAAAGAAGCATTGTTAATAACCAGCTCTAACAACTCCCAAGGACATTAAAGCAAAAGATTACTTTTCAGCTCAGCACAAGGATATACAAAGAGCTCAATAACAAAACATGTAACACCACAGAGTAGAATTAAAATCTTGGAATATGATCAGCTACATCTAGTAATTTGTACATTTATATATATCTTCTTCTCCAGCATTCCGAGCCCTTCAGGTTCATTGCTGCAGAAATTACCCGTCTCCATTCATCTCTCTGGTTGGCCTTCTCTTTCCAGTTGGTGACACCAAGTGTTTGCATGTCTGTCTGGACATCATCTCTCCACCTTTCTTCTTGGTCTGCCTCGTGGTCTACAACCATTAATCTCCCATGTGCATACAGTTTCTACTTCTCTGTCATCTGACATTCTTTCAATATGCCCCAACCATTTTAGTCTATTAGCTCTCATGATGCCAGTGATCAGTGGTGATTTAACCTGATTATGAATTTTGTTGTTGCTTCTCACTTTCCATTTCCCACTGTTTGCATCTTTGATGGGTCCAAAGATTCATCATAAGTCTCTGTTTTCGAAAACCTGAAATAAGGTTTTATCTCGTTTAGTTGTGTTTCAAGTTTTAGAGCTATATAAAACGACTGGTCTTATCAAAATTTTATATATTTTGATCTTAGTGTTGCGAGACAGACACTTTGACTTTAGCAAATGTTGAAGGGCATAGTATACTTGATTTCTAGATTGTATTCTAGAGTTCTAGAGTGTATTTTTTCTCTTAACATTTTGGAGCAGTTGAAGTTTGCAAATTGTGCATACATATATATACATATATATATATATATATATATATAGAGAGAGAGAGAGAGAAGCCAAAGACAGCATTAGGTTTGTTAGTAATACTGCAATGAGTCAACTAAACAAATTCTTTTTAATCAAATGGTGAAAAAAAACAATCTTATACCCTGAATGGCCACACAATGCGACCCATATGGTCAAAGAAATAAAGAAAGACCAAAACATGTGTGAAGAAAATTACAGAGATGAATAAGAGAGGAAGGTTATGAAGTGAGCTGCAAGGGATGGCAAGGGAGAGAGTGGCTTACAGTAAGTTGTATGACGGATAAGGGATATGATAAATAGGGATCTGAACCCTTATAAATTGAATAGTTTTATGTGCAGCCAGAATTACACGTCAACAAACAACAGAAACAAAAAAACTAAATAACTAACCAGTTTCTCTATGCAGTTTATCCGAGTAAAGAATGCAAAGTTAATGGAAACGGATCAATGAACTCTGGGTTTGACTGAAACTCGACTTTTCCAAGACATTCTGTGACATTTTCTCTATGCTTGCAGCGAATATGCTTCATTAAGTTTGATTTTCTTTTGAAGGACAAACTAGTGCACACAGCACAGTGGTAGTAGGTAGTTATTTCTTCATGCTTCTCTAACCAATGGCTGCGCAAGTCAGATTTATTTCGACAAAATTTGGCCCCACACCCTAAGACAGGGCACCCGGTTCCTGGCAGCCAGAGTGCTGAAGAGAAAGTGCTTCTATGATCAAGGCTGTGGCCTGAAAAGGAGAAAAAAAAAACACATACACTTTTTAGCACAGCTGTAGATCATAACCCATCGAGTGCTGACTGGTCTATACAATGTTGGATTCAGCACCGTATGTCAGATGCTTTAATGGCAGGAGAAGGGTCCTATACTTCTACTTTTACAACACCGATAAAGAATAGCTCTTGATGAAATACTGATGCAGCATAGCTATATGGACAAAACTATTGGTAAGGACGCTAACACAAATACAAGATCTCAGAGTAAAGCCTTGTGAAGCACATCAGTACCGTCTTTGAGGCCCGGATAGAAGATATTATATCCATCTTCTCATGGGAACAGTCAGTAAAGGTAACTTGGGGTGGCTGCTGCAGTGTAGGATTGAACATGCATAGGAACTCTCAATATGTAGTGATGCTGATTATAATAACACAACACACAACATACTGATGCTGAGCAAGAATAATAAAGACATATCAAATGCCAGTTTGTCTACAGAAATATGGGACAGGCACCATATGTCCAATGCAACAATTGTTGTAAAATGGTCCTTCACCTATACAGCTACGGATAAGGAATAGCACCATGAGAAAATGCTGGTATTCAGCAAGTATAATGAAGACATATCATATTGTAGTAGGTCCTTGGCACTAGTAGCTCAGTGATGGAATGAATACGCTGTTTATTTATAATCTGTTTCTCTGCACTCATAGATATGTTTGGACGTCTTAATAATGGTGAAAATTGCTATATAAGTGCACTTGCTTTCTGACACCTGGTTTCCATTTCTGTACAGATTCTGCCATCCTCCGTGGTCACACATGCTAGATATGTAAATTCCCTAACTTGTTTCAGGCCAGAACAATTCAACTGTGTGTTTAGTTGGTCAGGAGTTCTGCTGACTTGCATTGTCCTATCATGTCCTGCTAAAAAAAAAAAAAAACGCTTTTCAATTCCTCTAACTCATATATTGTCATGTTCAAGGCATGTGCAATATACTATGTCCACCTTAATGCTGGTTGACCCCTGCCTCTTCTTTAACGAAATATGTTGTCCTTTAATGTACTTTATAAGCCACTGTAGGATTAAATGTAGCCAAAGTATGTTAGTTTCCAAGACATGATGCTATTTATATTTACATTTGGATAAGGATTTACCAAAGAAGTCTGGCTTCTCCAGTTGTCATTTCAACAGTCATTTCATCAATGTCATTTCAGAAATGCATTTTTTGTTGTTGAAAAAATCAAATCTGTGCCATCCCTACAGTGAAGGTTGTAGACCACTATTGTTTTTGAGAATATTACGTGGTTTTTAAGTGTTGAATTAAGAATCGACATTACAGCACTCAAGACACTCCCATAAGCGCTTCGTCTCCATCTTCAGCAGCAAGTGATAAGTTCCAATTCCAATGGCACCAGTAACTGTCTGACTGTATATCCGCCCGGCCTTTCACTTGTGCTGAGCGGCGACCAGATCCCCTGGTAACTCCTCGCACCACCATTCTCCTCAAATAGTAATGATCTATTTGTGCTTTCTCACTGTTCACTCACTTCCAAAGGACCCTCAAAACATTAGGCTTGTCATCAGCTCACCATCAAGTGGTGCAGAACAGGCCAGTCTATCAGCCTGCTTATTTCCCAACACACTGGCACGACATGGAGAAAAAAAATCTAAAGGGTGCCAACTACCTGGGTCTATTAAATGGTGAGACCTCGGTCTCTTCCATGGTATCACTCCTGTACCATTGTCCAAACACCACGAGAAGGGTGGCCTTTTTAAGCCTTTCACCACGGGGAACGAACCCTAGTACTCAATAATCGTGAAATTGTTAACCGCATTCACTAACCTCCTTTAAGCTGCAGAGCTCCTCTTTGAAAGTCATTCACTCATAAGTGGTTATTTTCACCACTGCTGTGAAACCTTCTGGAACTTGAAGTGTTAAGACTTCATGTTTCATTGGAATACTGTTTTGTAACATGTCAGTGTAGATAATACCAGGCTTGTTAATATTCCCCTTTTACAGTCCATTCAATACAATAAAAAAAACTAAGCAACAACAGCGTGTAAGCGGGGCAAGTAAGGGAGGTAAACAAACACTATAACCAATATCTCTTATGAGGCAGCAAGGAGGGTTGGTGACTAAAGACCTCATCTTGCAGACAACAGTAAAAAAAATCCAGTCATCATGAACAAATTCACAACAGGGTTGGTGTGAGCTGAAAGGTGGAAGTTCCCCCGTGTGGATTCAGGGGTGCTATTGTGGGAAAAACAAGAATAGACCCACTGCCTCCCCAACAAACAGGTCGCAGGAGTTGACTAATTGGGGGCTTCCTCTGAAGTCATTGCATCTGACTGAGAGGTAAGTAACCAAGAGTCTATACAAATAAGCCAGACGTTTGAATCAGATGTGCATACAACATTCAGGTTCTGGAGCAAGAACAAAGTCTGCAGGTGGGTGAACACAAAGAAAAAAGAAAGGTAGAAGAAGACATTTTCAAACTGCAGCGCCAAATAATCAAACATTTCATTCAAAACAAAACCAACAAGATTTCTGTGCGTATTTCTGATTGTATTTCATTTATGCTTACAAAGATCATGGAAAATTTGCAGGTTGCAGACATTTTCAAAGTTTGTGACAAGTTAAAATATAGGACTCATATGAGAACATGGTAAATAATAAACAGTCACTTGGAAAAGTAATTAATGAAGCATAATTAAAAAATAAAAAGCTAAACAAATGTATCAGACACTCATATGTTGATTATCCTAAACTTTACATAAATTCTTGTCAGTCATACATACACATGAATGCAAGCACATACATATGGATACACACATACACAAATGGCTTGAATGAGGTCTTTTTTAAATATTGTAAATGAGGTAACAGCCTTATAGGATCTGATATCTTTTCTCAGAGGTACACACTTATGGGATCTGATAACTTTCTCAGAAGTAACAAACTTATGGGATCTGATATCTTTTCTCAGAAGTAACAAACTTATGGGATCTGATATCTTTTCTCAGAAGTAACAAACTTATGGGATCTGATAACTTTCTCAGAAGTAACAAACTTATGGAATCTGATATCTTTTCTCAGAAGTAACAAACTTATGGGATCTGATATCTTTTCTCAGAGGTACACACTTATAGGATCTGATAACTTTCCTCTAAGGTAATAGACTTATGGAATCTGTTAACTTTTCTCAGAGGTGACAGCTCTAAGAAATCTGACAACTTTTCTTAGAGGTAACAGTCTTATATGATCTGATAACTGTTCTCTGTGTAACCTATTTGATCAGGTAGTGACTGTTATGGTGTTATGTTTGTGGGAAGTGTGGTTTAATTTGTAAAAATTGTCCCAATGAATGAAAAGGGAATATAGAATATCTCAAGGTTGTGAATGTACATTTTCCCATTGACAAAAGTTGGGAGAACAGTGTTGAAACAGATTTTATGAATGTAAAACATGCCTGTACCTTGGCCAGAGTAGTCTGAAAAACTTCCTGCACAAGTTGAAGCTATCCTACACTGCAAGATAACAGAAAATGCACTGGACCAAACATCACTCTAGAGGAAATTGAGGTCTTCAGAGACTTCAAAATCAAAACAGTAACAATTTCAAAATGACATAATAAAAATCTATGATATGATTGTTTTTAAAATATAAAAACAAAATGACAAGAGGAGATTCCACAGGACTAGAAAATCTGAGGAAGCCAAAGGAAATTAAAACTAGTTCTAGACTTATAAAATTTAGCTTTATTGTCAAATCAGAGCTGAATCATGTACAACAATTAAAACAATTATTTATGACCTACAAACAGTTATGAACCGGTGCCTGCGGAGAATGGAAAGAGCTGTATTGATGATATATTTTTAAAGGCAGGTATGCGAGCAGTCTATTAAATATGATAGAAGTCAACATTGTATATTTCTAGATCACGAGAAGGTGTTCGATCGAGTCAACAGATGCAAACTATGGAAAATTCGAGATGATTATGGTATTCAAGATAAATTATTTGGTAACATCATAGCTCTTTACCAAGATAGTCGGTGCACAGTAAGAACAACAAAAGGCAGTATGAACAACAGAACAAATGACAGACTGGTTCCTTATCTCACCAGGTATCAGACAGGGATGTGTCCTCTCTCTACTGCTGTTCATTACTTACATGGATAAAATAACAACAGGAGGCAAATACAGACACTGAAGACATCAATGAACTTCTTTTTGCAGACGATTAAAGTCTAATAAACCACCAAGAACAGAATTTCCAACACCATACTGACTCCTTAGATCAAGCCTACACAAAGTATGACATAAGAATAAACACAGCTAAAACTGAGGTAATAAAGATAGGCAGGAAACATAATATCATGAAGGTTTATGTTAACGGTACTACAATCAAACAAGTACAAGAATTCCAATATTTAGGAAGCAGGTTTAAAGAGGATGGCAGACTTCATAAAAAGATAGAAGCCAGATGCTGTCATCTGCCAGTTAGCCCACTGCTTAGACACCCAAATGTCTCCCTTCCAGCAAAACAGCAAATGATTAATAGCATCTTTATCCCTACTTTATGTTATCATTGGCAAACATGGACAATGAATAGGGCACTAGAACATAAAATAACCACATATGAAATGCGCTGACTCCACAAGGCCATTAAAAACACTAGACGAGACAGTGTTACGAAATACCAGCATTAGAGAGAAAGTTAGAATAAGACCATGTCTAAATTATATTGACAATGAATGAAATGGTTTAGCCATCTAGTGAGAATGCAGCCAGACCAGACTGCATTTAAGACTGTTTACAGTATAACATCTGGGAGGAAGGCGAGAGGAAGACCAAGAAAGAGATGGATAAACAGTGTAGCTGAAACCTGCAAAAAAGATTAACAAATCCATCACTCAAGCCACCCATGAAGCGCAAGACAAATACAGAAAACTACAATACTGGGCTACAACCTGGTATCAGTGAGATGATAAAAGAAGAAAATCTACATTTCTTGATTTAAATTCTTGGCTTTGGAAAATGTTAACGCTGAAGAAAAAAAGAAGAGATTTTTAAAAGTATACACCTATCTACAACATGTTTGTAGTATCTGTTTCCACACATACAGTTTGCAGTATTTGCTTCCTAGCAATATAATACATTTTTTTTCTAATATGTTCACTTCTATAAAAAATGAATAAGCGAACTTTTCAATTCCACTGTCGAAACCAAGGCAAGGTCTGCTGCCAAATTGCCAGTATATGGGATCAAGATTGGCACCTCAAAATTATGAAGCGTGTTCACAATGCCTTAGCCAGAATGCCGTGGTGCCAACTACTGTTTTACTCTATTCCGACTGTGGGAGTGCCCAGGATCTGTTCCAACGTTAATGTCCCTGGACTCATATACTGCTGATTTGGCAGGAATTCCCCATCCAATTCCTCTGGATCCATATTAACTTTATGAGCTAGTAGCACATGACGGGACACATCTCTCTTCCTTTTCTGAGCTCGACTGCAGTAAGGACAGGTGTACATCATGACAATTTTTTGGTGCTTCTCTGTCCAGTGGGAAGAGAAATGGTTCCTGCTGTTGAAATGCTTTCCCTGACAGCCTTCTACAGGACAAGGGTCATGGGGCTTCCAGAAGACAGTCTCCTTGAATGTCTCCGACCCTGCCAAGAAATGAAAACCAGATGGATAACTGTGACTGCAACAGATAGGTAACTGTGACTGCAACAGATAGGTAACTGTGACTGCAACAGATAGGTAACTGTGACTGCAACAGATAGGTAACTGTGACTGCAACAGATAGGTAACTGTGACTGCAACAGATAGGTAACTGTGACTGCAACAGATAGGTAACTGTGACTGCAACAGATGGGTAACTGTGACTGCAACAGATAGGTAACTGTGACTGCAACAGATAGGTAACTGTGACTGCAATAGATGGGTAACTGTGACTGCAACAGATAGGTAACTGTGACTGCAACAGATAGGTAACTGTGACTGCAACAGATGGGTAACTGTGACTGCAATAGATGGGTAACTGTGACTGCAACAGATGCCTATTTAATCCATATCTCTGGTGTGTGAATGTTTTACTCTATTCACACACCAGAGATATGGATTAAATAGGCATCTGTTGCAGTCACAGTTACCCATCTATTGCAGTCACAGTTACCCATCTGTTGCAGTCACAGTTACCTATCTGTTGCACTCTTACCCTGTTGTATGAGGAATTGTTTTACTTGATGCAACCTCCTCCTTCTGCTTCTGAGCTGACCTTTGAAAGGTTGAGGTTTACAACTAGACTGAGAAATCAGCACCGTTTAACCCAATAAATTTGATTTAAGCAAATTCTTAATCAGTCAGGGAGAAGTTAAACTTAGGACCCAGGGGAGAAGTTAAACCTAAGACCCAGGAGAGATGTTAAACCTTGGACCTAGGGGAGAAGTTAAACCTAGGACCCAGGGGAGAAGTTACACCTAGGACCCAGGGGAGAAGTTACGCCAAGGACCCAGTGTTGGAGCTGATGGCCTGCCTGCCTGCCATAGTGATACTTTTGTGATAATTTTCCTTTTTTGCAAAATTTTTGCTGGAAATTAATCCCACTTTTGCCGCGGGGTACTCACCAGAAAAGAGTCCAAAATTTACATATGACTGAGGCCCTGTTAAGGTATTTTTTTTTAGCCTGGACAATTTTGGACCATTATTCGGAGGAGAGCCTAAAAATGTTTGCCTCTACTTATCCCATTCTAAAAGAAACTGTCACAAGATGTTAAAAATACTTCTGCCTCTACTGTTTGATTACATTCTAAAAGAAACTGTCACAAGATGTTAAAAATACTTCTGCCTCTACTGTTTGATTACATTCTAAAAGAAACTGTCACAAGATGTTAAAAATACTTCTGCCTCTACTGTTTGATCAAATTCTAAAAGAAACTGTCCCAAGATGTTAAAAATACTTCTGCCTCTACTGTTTGATCACATTCTGAAAGAAACTGTCACAAGATGTTAAAAATACTTCTGCCTCTACTGTTTGATTACATTCTAAAAGAAACTGTCACAAGATGTTAAAAATACTTCTGCCTCTACTGTTTGATCACATTCTGAAAGAAACTGTCACAAGATGTTAAAAATACTTCTGCCTCTACTGTTTGATTACATTCTAAAAGAAACTGTCACAAGATGTTAAAAATACTTCTGCCTCTACTGTTTGATCACATTCTGAAAGAAACTGTCACAAGATGTTAAAAATACTTCTGCCTCTACTGTTTGATCACATTCTAAAAGAAACTGTCACAAGATGTTAAATATACTTCTGCCTCTACTGTTTAATCACATTCTAAAAGAAACTGTCACACAATACAATCTTCAAGCACAAAACTATCAAATGACAGCTTTAGGTAATTCTGACTTTGATCTTTGAGCACTATATATCGGAGAATGGCAAGACTTGTACTTAACCAGATGAAAATGGGTACCATAAGACTTCTGACTGACTATTGTGGAGAGGGACGGAGCTAATGTGGGCTTTTTCTGAATGCTGTGATGTCGAATCTTTACGCATACGAACGCAGATTATTAACATAAAGCTTATTACAATTATGTTACTCTACAATAAAAAATGTGCTTTAGCAAATAACGGTGTTTCAGCAAATACATGTCATTTTGTTTATATGAAAAGCTGCCGACGAGAACACACATGTATCCTACTGTATTCCTGCACATTTTTGTATCATTCAAAGAATTGTGTTTCAGCATATGTTTGTATTCTATAGAAGTGTGCTCTGTATTTTGAAAAGCGTGTTTTGTATTCTGCAGAACTGCGTTTTATAAGCTTTATATTTTTTTTAAATCGCATACCCGCACACAAATAGATACATACACTTATATTTACAGGAATACATACAATAATTAATTTACCATCAACAAGTCTATACACTGCACAACCATACAAACATTCATTTGTCAGCTTTAAGAACATTCAAATTTTACAAATATTAACAATCCAATCAGTCCTCTGGTGACCAACTGTAATTTTCTCGGTCACAGAGTGAATAATTTTGAAAAGATCTCACATAAGTAATACACCATATCACTGTGTCTGAGTAGTAGTTGGGTTAACAGAATACAGCTGAGGATTGGCTAAGACTTTCTGAAGGGTTAATGGCCATGGACTAACAAATTCTCGGTTGTGCTGATAAACTTCACGAACATCCGAGGTTGAAATGACCAGATTATGCATCACACGAGCATGTCGCACAATATCTCCCCGTCTTTTACACTGCGAGGAGCAACGTGGGCAAAAGTATTTAACAATGATTTCTTCATGTTTGGCATTCCAGTGCCGCAGGAAATCAAATCTGCAGACAAAGCCATTGCCTGAACATGTGGATATCGGACACTTAGTTCCTGGCACCCAGGGGTGCCGACCAGCCCCTGCAGACAGACAAAAATTTTCTCATGAATGTTGGCAAATATAGGGCTGCAGATACACAGTCACTGTTCTTTATGTCCTTATTTAGTTTCTGAAGAACCACAAGCCATGTTATTCCAGGCTGTATGTTTTTTTGTTTTAGTATCCAGAAGCCATGAGTTGTTAACCCTTAGGCTCGGTATTATGGATATCGCAACCTTGATTCCATTTTAAATACCGTAAATATGGGAGAAATGTGGCTTTTCTGCCTATCCCCGGGAGTGAACCCGGACCACAAGGAGTTCGTCACCCGCTCACTCCGGTTTAGCCAACTACGCTAGAGAGACGGGCTCCAGGCTGTATATCTTGGATGACCTGCCTAATCACCATTTGAGCTTGAGGAACAATGTGACTGCAATCTATATTACAGACTAAATAAACAGACTGTCCAAAAATGTATAAATACTTCAGTAAACAAACAGCAATTATAGGGAATCTCTCTGGAAATTAATAGACCACTTGAGAATCCCATAGAAAGTTACTAACTTACTAAAAGCAACATATAAAGAAATTAAATGTTGATTTCTTCATGAGGTGCACTTCAATGTAGTGCTCTACTGGGCATCAGAAAAGCGGCAGAAGAAGAAACAAAAATCCAGTATTACAACTGGAAAACTACATTTATAAAACTTCAAAGATTTTAGACCAGTTATCTTGATTTCGGAGGAAAAAACAGAACAGACCTACCTAGCAAGCAAGTCGCAAAAGGTGACTAATCAAGTATTTTCTGAAATCAGATGTGGGCCAGAAGCTGCAGATACTGCATTCTAGCCATAAACTATAAGATAATGTGGCAACTATCCCTGTAAGGACAAATGCAAAAGAAGAACACTGCAAACAATTAAACATTGTTTAGGACATAACTATTAAGTTTAAAAAGCACAATGAAGAAGTGAAGAAAAAGTAATATGTCACTATTAAATATGCTGACCGCGTCAGCAAAAGAGAGCTAAAAACACAGAGAATGCAGAATATTATCAAATGAGCAGACAGCAACAAATGTAGAGGAAGTTATGGACAAGCAAAACAATATTTCAAGCCTTGGCATTTGGAGCCCTTGAGGTTCATTGCTACAGATATCACTCGCCTCCATCTATTTCCATGACTGATCTACTCTTTTCAGTTGGTGACTTGCAGTGTTTGTAGGGCTGCCTGTATATTATCTTTCAACTGTCTTCTTGATCTTCCTCATGGTCTACTCCCACTGAACTGGTTTATGTACAGAGTTTTTGTCTCTCTATTGTCTGCCATTTTCTCTAAATACCACAAACATCAGTCAATTAGCTCTCAGGAAGCCAGTAATTAGTGGTGACAAATACAAACTGATGTACCCGTCTCTTATCAACAGAAGAAGAGAATAATCAAATCAATCAGAAAGCCACCGAAACCAGCAAAAGACGATTACCACATTATTTATGGAAGACCAGAGCAAGTCATTATTCTACGTCTCAGAACAGGACACAATCGACTGCGCAGCCACATGTACACAAATTTTAAAATTGGCAAACAGTGATGTGCACATGTGGACTGGCACCTGAGAAAAAAGATCACATCCTCCAAGACTGTCCCAAACACAACATTTATGGGCGAAACTTCAGGCCAAGAGAGACACTGGTGGAAGCCAAACTCTATGGGCCGCCAAGTGAATTACAAAAGACAGTGAAGTTCATACTAAAGAGAGCAATGCAGAATGAAAGAATAAGAAAAAGAAGTGGTGATACAAACAGACTAATTGTGGAGAAGCATGATAACCCATGCCAGTGAACAAGTCACTTGATGATGATAAATAGATCAAGAATTTAGCTGTTGCTTCTAACTCTCTCTTCCCTGCTGTTGACATCTTTGATGTTTTGATGTGTTCAGATATTCACTGTAAAACTATTCTTTAAAGTCTGTAAAAGGCTTTTTATCTTCTAGTGCATGGCTATTCATCTGGCGGCCCAAAGAAGCCTAGCAGGTTGCCCATTGGTCATTGCCAGTTGTCGTGTATCAATGATCTTTCTATGCTGGGGGTCGAGTCTGTAACCTGCGACGATGCATATTAAAAAAAAATACTGGTCCTGAGTAAACTTAGTTGAATAACCCTGTTCTAGTTACTCCAGGTTTCAAAGCTATATAGGACAACTGCTATTACCAGTGTTTTTTATACTGTATTATGAGAATTGCATTTGCTTTTAGCAGATTTGTAGGGCATACCATTACGTATTCCTTGATTGTATTCTAGATTGTATTTCTTCTCTTCGTAAAAATATATACTTGAAATAATATTAAAGTGTTTGTTAATTACAATGGAGAAAAGGTAACAGTTGGATGACACATAATTTAGGGAAAATAGTGCATACATAAAGAGCATAATACGGTTTATTCTAGAGTCTATATTAAGATAGTGCAAAGAAAACAGAAAATAAAGAATAGCTGTTTTTAGCAGTGATTTCTGCAGAGAATAAAAAATAATTGTTTAACAATGGTGGTTAAAAATATGAGTGTACAAAGTGCACACATCATGAGACTTCCACACATTAGTAGTTCTGATTAAAAAAACATTACTAAAGTTCCCCACTGAAACAATGAACAAGTGATCAATTTTATCTCAAACTATACACACCTACAGTGAAACAATAAAAAAAAAAAAGTAAAGGACCTTTTTTCACGCCTTTAGGAGTAAAGGGCATATAGGGCTAGGCCTATATTTTTATAGACCAGTCGGCACAAGATCGGTGACGTAGTCGACATCACGCCGGCCGCCTCTACTTTCTGGGACTGCACCCGGTACTCACTCAAGGCTGGGTAGACGTGAGAGCCAAGGTCATTTTTGAAAAAAAAGTACAGTGAAATACACATACAAAATATGCTAAAACCACAATACAAACTCCCAGAATTCACTGTAAAAATCTTTAATGAGAAAACATATTTTACAGAATGCAGGTACACGTAATTGTGGTGACAAGCATTACAATGTCAATAATTCAGAAATAAATATGCATGCATAAAAAACAATGTGAGATCATAAACTTTAGAAATAAATGTACAAGAGAATCATATGAACTGAAAACACTTGCATCATTCACAACAGTTTCTTGTTACTTCATTTAACTTGTCATCTCATCTCTTAAAATTACTATATTACTAACAACAACTTGCTTTCGTATATTAAATAAAATACACATCTAGCAGAATCAACCTTTCTGACAACATTTATCAACATTTACCTGAGACGTGTGGCATCAAAGGCAATGAAAGTGCTGACACTGAAGCTTTAGTCAAGGAAGGCAGCAGTAAACCACAAATCTACCAGCTTATCTTATCCAGAAGTAAAAACCCTCATTAACAGAAAATCAGAAACAGATAGGAAAACAAACACTGGTTATAACCATGAAAAAGATGTTCTCAACCACTTGAACAGAACAGACCAGACCAAGTCAGAGTTTTTCGCTTACGCACTGGATACTGCAGATTAATTGAACACTCATAAAAATTAGGTATGCACCAAACAGCTCTCTGTCAGTGTCTTCTTACTGAACAGACAACAGACTCCAAAACATGTCTTGTAAGATAACACGTTTATCAATGTAAATACTGTATCAATTCTAACAGTGTGTTTCTGTAAACTTTAGAAGTACATGTCCAGTAGAATCTGCTCTCTTTCTTCTTCTTCACCATTCACCCTAAAAGGCTGCAATCCTTCAGACCAAAACATCCATTTTCTGCACACCCCTAATTAGTTGTCTTTTAGGCAACATGCTTGGTAAGAGGGCAGTGGGTTTATTCAACTCCCCCTCAATGGGACCTAGAACCCCTATGGGGAGAATCGGCTGTTTAAATAACACTTTTACCATATTTACATGGGTTTTTAGTTGTTTCAACTTATCACGTTATTATAAATAAACACAGCATAACTTTCAACAACATGCTTTCCTAAACTTTATAAATATATTTTCAGTAGAATCAATTTGAAATATGTTGGTCAATTCAAGCACCATGGCGGATCGGAAAAATAATAGCAAAAGGCATGGTACCAGGAAGGAGGGGCAGGGGCCGACCAACATGAAGATAGGCAAAGGTGTGATTTGTTGAATATGAAAGTACACTATGCGGGAGAGCTGGGGAGAGACAGTTTCTTTCAGGCAGATGAAAGCGACATTCTGCAAAGGACCTGTGTTACATGAAGAGAATCAAACCGTATAGCGACATTCTGCAAAGGACCTGTTACATGAAGAGAACCAAACCTTTTATCACCATCCGCATCAGTGTCTAGTTGCCCCAACTCATCACACCACCAGTTCCAACAGTGTGTTCTTTCATGTGTTACCTTTTGTAGACACCAAGGAATCCCTAGCATCAGAATAAGACTGCACTAAAAGAGTGACTGTCCAATGGATTTATTAAAACGAACTGCTTCTTCTTATAGTCCAGGCCATGTGGCGTTGGTAGTCATATCTATCCTCAACATTCTGTCTCAGCTGCTTTTCATCAATTCTGACACAGATGATCTTTCATACCATGATGTCTAACTGCCACGCATCTTCTCTCTTGGTCTTCCTCTGCAGCTTTCCAACCGATACAATGTACTCGTTTTCTCATTCTCGTGAGATGAGCAAAGACCAAGATTGTTTCCTTCTGATATGGCCAATCATTTCTCTTCGTGAGTCAGTTTCTTTCAAGACATCTTCATTACTCATTTTGAATGCCCAGCATATTCTTATCCTTCTATCTTGTGGGGAAGTAAACGTAAAAAGAACCCCTTTCATTCCATTGGTACATTCAGCATATGATGCTAGCCTCATATTTTGTACAGATCAATCGGGGGTGAGGTGGCCAACATTGTGTCACCCACCTTTACTTCCCAGGACATTACTGGTATCCACTATAGACTGGGTTGCCCCGGGAGCTAAGGTCAGTTTTATTTTGAAAATCTGCCTTGATGCGGAACAAACCCAAGACCTTCAGGCCATTAGGTGAGCGTCTAGCCACTAAGCTACTGCGACCACTTTGTGGGGGAGATAAAGAGATAAAACACCTGAACTGCTTGACCTCATGGAAGAACTAAAACAAGAGCACATAACTTATCTGAGACCTTGGTGATCATATCAGATGGCAAAACCATGACTTTTTCTGCTTACAGAATAAGAAATGATAAAGAGGTTATAACATGACGTGAGCACAACTACACAGTCAAGGGAAAATTATTACCATTGCAGCCTGTTCAAAATGTGAATGTTTTCATCAATCAATGTAGCCTTAATTTTCTTTAAAAAAAAAGGAAAATAAGAGTACTTAAAAGATGCAAACTTACACTATATAGTGTGATTAATATTGATTTAATTTTGTTGAAATAAAATAATGGTAAAATAGACAGATTTATATAGCCTAAAAGTATATTATTTAGTGTGATTAATGTTGATGTAATCTTGTTAAAAATAACAGTAAATGATCAAGCTCATAACACCAAGAATCATACCATACAGTGTGATTAAGTGTGTTGCAAATAAAACAACGGTAAAATGATGGGCAAACCCAAAACAATCAGAAACACACTGTATAGAGTGATTAATGTTGCTTTAATGTGGTTAAAACAAAAGGTAAAATGGGAGGAGTTAGGTGGCATATCTAATGTTTGTGCAGTGATATTTACTTAACCCCCCCCCCCCCCCCCCCCCCCCCCCCCCCCCCCCCCCCCCCCCCCCCCCCCCCAAACTGCAATTTGAAAGAGTCCCAATGAATCATAGAACCTATTTGGGAAGATAGTCCCAATGGAGCAAATCCTAGAATTTTCTT